CATTCATCTATAATACCATCAAGCTCTGATTCTGTCAAACCTTCTCTTCCTCTCTCCAGCCAGTCACTGCTGTGGAGCTCTGCAGCATGACTGCAATCAAAAACATACATGCAAGGAACACAGAAAATACAAAGTGACAAATGTCCGTGTTATATCTCGCTGTCCATCTTCTGTCTTTGTGGGAATTAATGGGCAAGAAATGGCAATACTGTAGTTCAGAACAACCAATTCAATGTAACATGTTTTTTTTCTTTAATCTCATGTTAGGGATCAGTAACCTGCCCTCCAATCTGTGTCGGCCTGACATGCCCGCTACTGACTGGCCCTCTCCAGTCGTCTGTCCTCCTCCTTCCTCACTCACTCCACTTCAATCCTGAAACACTCACCATCCCTCCATCTCTCTCTGCTTCTGCTCTCCCATCCCTCTCTCCTCTCCTCTGTATCATGGTATTCCAACCTTCTTTCCCTTCCACATCTCTTCCTCCATCCATCTCCTCTCCCAGATGTCAGGAGGGCAGGATTGGCCGTTTCCTGGCCCCAGCCTCTGGCATCATGGAGGAGGAGCATCAGCCAGATGTTTGGTTGCATATTCATACAGGGTTTATGAATCTGGAGAGAGCAGACAGCCACTGACAAGTGGGAGGAAGAGGAGGATTCAGATGGAAGACTGAAGGAACTTTTCTGCATGTTCTATTTCTGCCTCTGACGGGCATTTTTGGAGTTATCCTATCTTTGTTTCTCTCTCGCTCCCACTCCTCCTCCTCCTCCTCCTCCTCCTCCTCATCCTCCTTGAGTCAGTTTTGGAGCATGTTTAGCCGAGATGTGATTGGAGGGCGATGCTCCAGGCAGATGTGAATCTGGTGAGGGTCGTTGGCACAATGGAGGACATCAAATGACAAGCCTGTCTCCATCTTTGAGCGGGCTCCTGCTGCTGCTAAAGGTGGATTGTCGTCTGTATATGTGTGTGTGAGGACGGGTGTATCGGGAGTTGGGCCTTTGGCCTCTCCACCTGCAAGCCATGTCAAAAGTGCCCAAGAACAAAAATGTCTCCTGGGTGAGTACTGCCTCTCTGGGTTGTAGGTGGGGGGAGGAGTGGATCATAAGAGTTCAGTTTTAGTGCTTTTTCATTTCTGCCAGCCTTATCTGCTTGGGAATTTGTTATCGTTGCCTGTATTTTTTTTTTATAATCAATGTTATATATATTTAGGGATTTCAACATACAGCAGTTTGGTCTCATGCTTATCCAAAATACACTTGCTCTGCTTTGAGCCAAAGAAGGAGCATGTTTTATAGGCTTCATGATAGAAAACAGAGCAGATAAAACCATTGTCTTTGACGGCTCATTTGCACATCTGCCTTAATGTGCCCAACAGATGTGTGGTCACAACTGTCGCAAAGCCCTCTATCCTCTTCTCCAGCCTGCATTACACCATCCTGCCCAAAATAATAGACCATTGACCAAAAAGATTCACAACAAAAAGCGGCAGTAAGCCTCTAATCAATGAGCGTGGAGGGGGTGGAGCTTGCATGTGCTGAGTTTATATGACCGCAGTGGAACGCAAATAATTAAACTTTCAGTTCTGGCAACTTGCTCCCAATAATGAGTCTTGTTTTAGGTCAGGGCAGATGTGTGGTTTCTAGCTGTGTGGACACAGTGGAGGTCGGGGTCTGGAGCTTTGCCTATAATTGTGCGTGCCATCTATCTCTGTCCCAGCAGCCCTGTCCTGCACTATTGGCCACAGCTTGACAGCATACACACATACACATACACACACACACACACACACACACACACACATACACACACATAAATATATATATATATATATATACACACACACACACTCTGGTTGTAAGAAGCTTAGGGACAGATGTTTGTTTATGTATGTGTGAGAGCACATGTGCACATGAACACGTGTGGTGTGTATGCACAGAGGGAGTGAGATGAGAAGGGTTGTGTGTTAGTGGCTCGGTGGACGATGCAGTAGCAACAGAAATCTGAGTTTGACCAAACAATCTCAAGTCAAGGTCCACTTACTTGTTTGTTGTGGAGCTTTCAACTATATCACACAGTCCTATTCAGTAGACTGCAGTTTGCTCAAACATCCCATGATTTTGTGAACCTCTAGACATCTTGAATCAATAGAACTTTTTAACATCTACGGTTCTATGACAACTGAACAAACACAATCTGCTGATGAAGGCTGTGTGATACTGTTGAAAGTTCCTGAACAAGCGAGTAAGTGGACCTTGAGTTGAGTTGTTCTGTTAACTGCTTTATACAGTGAAGAAGCCCAACAAACGGAAAAAGTATCAGATGATGATGATGATGATGATGATGATGATGATGATGATGATGATGATGAGTCTTAATCAAAAGTGAAATCTGTTTTTGTCCTTTAAAAAAAATTATATTTGATTGGTTACAGTTACAGTTACTGATTAGTGCTCAAGGCATTTGCTCTGTCCTGATTTTTCCAAACCAGATTTCTAAACTATGTGTGTTTACATACACACAATTTCCCATCTACAATATTGTCTTTTTTTGTAGTATATGAACACAGCTTAGGATACTTAGGATAAGAGATAGAGTTTGCTCAGTTGTCATAAAATTGTAGATGTCTCCTTTTTTATTTTTTCTGAGCACTTTTATTTGTTTATTTTAAAGCCAAGATGGACGTGAAGTCCAAAATCTACAATTACATGAAAACTAGGCAAACTCCATCTGATGAGCTCAAGAGTCAATGTAAGTTGTCTATTCCTAAAGGACGTGTTTGTGGTCAGAGTGAAGGTAACAGCTTCCACCCAGGCACTCTGTTTAAAGCTCTCACCGTGACTGAGCACAGCAAGTGGTTTCAGAAACACATGCTCACATGCTTTGCAGCATATACCTGAATGGAAACAAGTTAATGTACAGATTGTATAAATGGTTCAGTGGTTTTCGATTACTGAGAATATTTCAGTTTCTTTGTGTATTTCATGAAGCTGTAGCTCCTGCAGCAGCAGAGGAATGATCAGGCTGCCTTATGTAACATCTTCACAGTTGAGCTTAGAGGCAGTCAGAGTAAGCATGGACTCTGTCTGAGTGTTTTGCTGGCACTTGAGGAGAGCTGGCTCTTGCTTGAGGAGATTTGAGGTGTCATGGAGCAGATTTAGTAAAGCCCAGAGTCTGGTTCAATCCCAGGTCATGGGCTAAATGTTGGGACCTTGTGCGAAGAATTCTTTCTCTTCCTCCTAAAGCAGTACACATATGGATAAGGGCAGTGATGTGCATGTGCCTGTGTGTTTCTGTTGCCTGTGTGTAGTGTGGGTCCAGATGTGTGTCTGACCCAGAGGTCAGTGTCACAGCTCCTTGCTCCACACTATCACAGCCTGACCCAGCTGACTACAGCCCTGCGTTTTCTTTTCCATTCTCACTTATGTAACACTCTCATCTGTGTCCCTCGGCACCCACAGCTCTCCCTGGTGATTCTGGTACTTCGCCCACTGTCGCCTATCTGCTGATGTCCGCTGCCTGGCTGTCCGGGTTACAGGCCACAGCGACAAATGGACCAGGCAGTGTTGCTTACCTTGAAACCGTGGTGGAGGGAGTGTTCACGGTCTTTATTCACAATGTAGAAATACAGGAAGATAAAGGTCCTGCGTGTAAAGCTTTATTAAAGCAAAAGTATCTAGTATAAAATATTTGTTATTCAGAATGCCCCCAATCAGAGTGTTAAGCAGCACTGTCAGCAGCATTATAAAGGGTTAGTTCACCCAAGTTTTCTTTCTTACCCCTAGTTGTAACCAGCTGCACGGATACTTCTTTCTTCACTGATACTTAATTTCTCCATGTTTTGAGAACCATACCCATCGACCTGAACATAAGAACAAAATAAATCTCATTCATTTTACTGCTCATTAATATTTTCTGCCAGGGGCTATCTCCTTACATCATCACCTAAATGTGTTTTATAGCTTACCAGGTAATTCTGATGGAAATAAATCCCCTTAATATTTTAATTAATTTGTTTTGATTTGTTTTTGCCAAAAAACAGATAAGATAGGCTACTTGGTCTAAAAATTGCAACATCAGGTGTATATGTCCCAGAGGACATGATCCTGGTGTTCTCATTGGCTCAGAAAGCCATCTGAATGATCTGAGCTTGCAATTTTGTAGCTGGTCCACGAGCAGTCATACTAGCAACCTAATACTGTAAACTTAGCTAATGTATAGAAATATATATTATCCAAGATCCTGGCCCCCAGTGTAAGCAAACTCACGCAGTCTGGTGTAATTTGAGGATACAAGACGAAAATCCGTGGTGAGCCTCTGTGTGTGGCTGATACTTGGCAAGTGCAGAAGTTTGAAGTAGTGACATAATGACACTAAACCAATGGGGTGAGAGAATATCATGATTAAGCTCTCTGGATGATGAACCCAGGGTTTGTCTGTAGTTGTAGTTTACGCAGTAGTAAATCGGGCACACAAAGGAATTATGCACTGCTAGCTTTTTAATTTCATCTTTCTATTTTGGAGCCAGGCCATTATAATGCTCCCATGTGTGCAGCCAAACCCCGGGAAGTTGTTTGGATGCGCGCACTCACTAATCAGGCATCACACGCGCAGAGGACGGAGCCAAGCAACTCTGGTCAACGACATTAATGAGACGCTCCTCACCTCGCGCTATTTACCAGTGGAGGACGGGTCGGACACCTTCTTCTGAGGCTTGAGGTCAGAGTGAGCGGTGTGCGGCGCAACAGATGCCGCACCGAGAAATAAGCCTTTAATACCCCTAGGACTCGGGGAAGGGTAACAACTCTCAACCCACAATACAGACTTAAGTGAAACCCCTCACGCAACTCATTCGTGTCTCCGGCGGTGTCCTGCGCGTCGCGGTTGCTTTGGGAGATATCTCACCTTTACGCACGAAGCGGCGCTAAAAGGACGGTGGTTTTTTGGGGGGGGAGGGGGGGGGTTTGTAAAAATTTAAGGGTATCCTCGGACACATCCACCTGCTTCAGAGGTAAACCCAGTCTCATGGCACACTTGTCTGTGGAGCCAGGTGAACGATAACTTGAACTGGTCGTTAGAACCGCGGAATAACACCAGTGGACAACTTCAATCACCATGCCACCCAAGAAAAAGGTAAAATGATAAAGATTATTGGGTTTTTTTGGGTGTGTGTCTGTGTGTGTGTGAATATGCGTGTGCATGTGCATGTGTGCGCGCTGAACAGGAAGGGCAGGAGAATGCACCATCTGTTGCACTGGGCGTTAATCCTTGTGTGAGGCCTTTCCACATCATTGCACTCACTGAAACAGTCACAATGCGCAGGGCAGATAGAGATGCATATCCTCATGCATGTATCATGCCATGTGTCCAATTGAAAACCATGGGCCTCAGAGAGAGTTGCATAACCAATGGCCTGTAAAGATCAGATGGATTAAATCTCTTTTCTTGCCTGTTTCTTTCACTTCTGACCCTTGGACTTGCTGTGAACCTGGGCTGATGTTTTATTCAAGCTACAGTAAATGGAACTGCACTTTGGGGCTTATTTGCACTCCATGTATAGAAGCATCGTAGCAGCAGCAGGTGTAGTTGGGTTTCTCTTCCACATGCAGACAAAGCATATGCTTACTGTATGACTGACTGTATGATGACTAGAGCAGTCATGATATTGTAGTGCTTTCCTAACCTACCAGTCTCATCATTTGCTTGAAGAAAGTATTTTACTTAATATGGAAAAAACCATCAGCAATGCCACATGCAGGGAAAGTGAGGAAAATGTATTACCATTACATTCAAGTCGCCGAGCTAAGCATCCACTTGTCAGTCTTTGAAAAACCCAGAGGCTTGTTTAACAGCACTCACTGCTGTTTTGGGCTATTTCCAGAATCCTTAAAGACTATTCTAACCATCTGGATGAAAAAAAAGTTCTGTCTGCTGCACAACAAAGAAGGTTGTTCTTTTAGATTTCCTGGGCTACAATTCTTATTTCTTACTCCAAACAAGATGCTAGCAGGAAATTAACTCATGTCCTTTTTTATTTTTGATGAAGGTGAACCAAAATGAATTAAAGTTTTATCATCAGTTATATCAGTTACCAACTGTCCAGGTTGATGTTATTTTATTTTTGTGTTATTTATGTGTCACTCAAAGCTAGCAAGAACTATGGCTGCGTGTAGAGGAAATTGAGACTTAACTTGGAAAACTATGAGCTATATAGACTAGTGTCTTTCAGCACATTTTTTCAAGCATACTATTTTAGTTGACTCTCACCGCTCTCATTTTGGCTGGAGCAAGCAGCAGTTTTCAAATGCTGAAGGCAGACAAAAAGTAGCAAATAGCTGATCAACATAGACAAGCTTTTAGCAGCTAAAGCGCCAGATATTTCTCTTAGGAGCCGGTGGAGCTAAACAAAAACAAAACAGCAAAAACAGGCTGAATATTGGGGCTTCATTCTTCAAGTAGCTAGAGAAATTAAACAAAATGAATGCTAAAGTCGTGTTGAATCTGCAGGATGTGTAAATGACCAACGTGCTAACATGCTAGCCAGCGCCACTTAAGGGAATGTAATGGTAACACATGAGAGGCACAAACTGGAGCTTGAGCAAACCTGTGGATGGCCTACTGCCTTGGATTTCAGTTTACTAGTTAGTGTTGGCCCACTACTTGTTACTCAGAATAGGAAAAGCCTCTTAGTAGCTGTTACTGGGGCATTACATCCAGATACCTGCTCCTCTTCCGGGCAGGAAGTGGAGCATTAAGGTGCTGGAGCTGTCTGGAAAGTTCCAGGAGAATACTCAATAGAGCCGTTTCCTGTTTCCATGTTTATGATTGTATTGTTTTAATTATTTCCTACTTTTTTCTGTTTAACCTGACAAATATTTGCAAACTTTTTCATATTGCAGAAAAGACGATAGCTGCAGTGATAGTGTTGGTTTAATAAATGCCTCAGACCAAAATGTGAGAGAAGATCATAACAGGAATGGTTGGCAAAATGCTTTTTTATAATCCCCTCACACACATGCACACACACCCCTCCTTACACCAACTATAATCATGTTGCATCACAGTGCTGTGCAGCGCAGAGGAGCGGCAAGACTCGCCATCTATGAACTATAGATGAAGCGTATCTTGTACAGGAATTGAGTCGTGTATATGATATTAATGCTGCTATTGTATCTCTATATGATGACTGTCTGGGAGCTTGAGGACATGCATTCCAAGCAGCAGTGTTGGCTGTCTGTGAGGGTTTGCATTTGTCTCTCTCTCTCTAAATCCTGGATTGACGCATGCTATCTTAATCTCCTTACTCAGAGACAATCATGACCCAGAGAGAGAGAGAGAGAGGGGAAGAGAGCCCACATACACATTGCTGTTCCCCTGTAATGATTTTTTCCAATTTAGTCTTTGGTTCTGCTTTTCTTTGAGACAAATCTCTTTTTTTTTCTTTTTCACGTTCCTTTAAATGTGCAGATTCTCTCTATAGTAGTAGTGAAATGCCATGAATGAGAGAAATTGTAGATGTCATGTTACTCTTGTATTATTACTTTTACATTCAGGGAAACCCACACTACAAGAAGGTAATAGTACATAATGGTTAAGGGTTTTGATGGTGTTTTTTAAAATTCATTTTTACTTTCCCCAAACCAAAAATACAAAAGCAAAAATATAAATGTAAGAATTGGATGAAACAGTGTGTTTATCTGCTCTAACATAAGCTACAAATGTTAGCATGCATGGCTAATTAGCTTACTATCAACTAGGGGTGTAGCGATTCTGAAACTGAGACCAAAACCACGTTACAAACATCCATGATGAGTTGTGATATCAGAAGACAAAACTGTAACACACCCCAACCCCAACGCGCTGCGGGAGCTCTCATTATGTTACTAATGTAACAAAACTAACACTACAACACATGTAAATCACAGAATTATTGTTCTATTTAAAGTTAGGGCTGCATATTTTTGTAAATATTGCACATTGAACCTGTTTCATGTCTTTCAACTCTTTGTGTCATGTGACTATTTGGCTCCCATTATGATCGAGTGATCACCCCTGCAGTAACAGTTTGGCTAGTTCATTTAACTCAAGATGGATATAATCCTGAGATTGGAAACCCCCTGAGCATTTCAATTATCAAATATATATTTAAGACCCCATGTATGGGCTTCTCATTTTTATACAAATCAGCTTGACAAATTAAAAAGTCAGCCAGAGAAAGCATTTTCAACCAACTCATGAAGCTAATGTTAGCTAAATTAACCGTATCATATATGTATTTTACATTGATTACTTTAGCAAATGTACCACTTAAAATTAGAATTTATTTCTAACACAACAGTTTCCATGATTCAGACAAAGGCAGACTTTTTATCTATAGCCGACAACCATGGATTTTGTCAGCTGAAACTATCGCTACAGATTTTATCAGTTGTAATTGGAAATCTGTGTGGCAACAGTAACTAAGCTGAGACGGGGCTTAGCTAACAGTCAATTAATTGAAGTAGTTTCCACTTTTAACCTCTTCCTTTAATATGTAACCACAAACTGTAAACATCAGTAGTAAAGCTCAAACCCATATTAACATATTGTATAGACATAGATTACATCTAGTGCAGTGCAGATTTGCTGTCTCTTTTGATCTATAATTGGAGATCTAAAGGGGCCATGATGCAGCCTTTAACTCCAGAGATGGAGGCTCATGCCAAAGTAAAGGTGGCAGTGCCAGAGTGGCCATATCTGCTCTATGGTAGCATCAGGCAGAGGGCATGGAGCCAGGCTCCTTCAGACAGATGATGCAAAGCAACTGATTAGACAGAGCTTGGAGAAAACCGGATTGGAACACAGAGTGCATGCAAATGAACAGGCTGATAATGACCACGAGACAGAGTAGCAAAGAAGTCATCAACGGAGTAACATAACATAAGTAAATGTGCTGCAGCTAAATATAAGGATTGTAGTCATCAGATAAAAAGTCACCGATCCTCAGGTACAGACAGACCCAACACAAGAAAAGATTTATAGGTGAAAATGAGGAATTTTCAGATACCTGGGCTCAGTGCCAGCAGCTCATTGGAGGACCGACAGGAAATTAGTCACAATTAGATCAGTGACCTGCTCTACAGACAACAATGAACTGTAGTAAAGGGTGTTTGGGAAGCAGACAGTGTTTTTGTCCTTTCTGATGCATGACTTTATCTATGAAGCCCACCAGCAAGGTTTTAATGAAGCTTATTAGTCTTTTGCCCAATAATGTATCTGCAGATCAGCTAGAATATCCCGACATACTACATGTGAATATATTACATTTTTTCTCAATTTTATCTTGAACAAGTCTTTGCCTTGTTCAAGATAAAAATGATGACATCTTTTCAAGACGACAAGCTCACCAACTGGGTCTACTATAATACTTTACCAATCAAATCCAGCAGATCTACTCTCAACTGCTACAGTAGAAAGATATTTTGCTATACCAAACTCAGATTCAGATCCAGGTCGTACACATCAAGCAGCAGGAACTTGTGACTTGTTAAAAATATCATATATAGACAGCATGGGACACTGACAGTCGGAGACAGGCTGGTCTGTTATCTGTACTCTGCCGTATAATCTGCCTCACACCTTTTCTCCTGTAAATCCTGAGGTTGCTTGTTTTGTTGAAACTATAAACTGTATATACAGGATATACAGTATGTATTCAGATTTATGTACAGACTGTGGTTGAAGGGTTGGTGCTTGAAGTCCTCTTGTGAGCACTAACCCATTATTAACCCACTACCATGGGTATATGACAGTGTTTGAAACATGACATATCAATCAGTGGCAATTGCTCTAAGACTGCAAGGGAAGCTCAGCTTCCCCTAAAATGTCAACAAAATAAGTGGTCAAATATATACTGTTGTGTGTACATTTCATTGACTAAATATGCGCTAGAACACGTTCATCTTTTGTTCAGAATCAGCTACTTATCACAGGTAACCGACATGACTTCCTTCTCATTCATCCCCGCAGCGCCACAGAGCTTTACACAGTGTAGACGCCGAGCGTCTACTGACTTCAATGGGGAAACAGAGTGGGTTGTTCCACTGCAGCGAAACTAGACGGTCATTGGATAAATGCTGGGCTTTGTCCCGCCC